AAAACTGTGAGCTGGCTCACACTAACTCAGCTCAGAGGGAACACTGGATGTGTTGCATTCTGGCAGGGGACGCTGTGAGTGTAGAAAACGATTTTATCGACAGAGTAGTGTTTTGGAAAATCTTTAGGAATTGTTTGGTGCATTTACCATGGGGCACCCACCCAGAGCCTCTGGCATTTTCTCACTCTGCTGGCATCAAAACCAATTTAAGGCAAAATAGAGATATGAAGACTTTTCCATCCTCCTATGCATCAATTTGTCTTCGTTGGCAATGGCAACCCTAGGCCTGCAAGTACTCTCAGAATGATTTCATGCCTCCAGACTGGCATGGCATCACTAGCTCAGCAGGACATCACTAGCATCACTAGTCCAGCAGGACAATCCCTATGGAAGCTGCCTGGGTGATTTCGGACCAGCCACAGACTTTCTGCCTAACCCACCTTACAGCGTTGCTGTACAGATCGCAAAGCCATTTTTATTTAAAAAATGCCAGGAGACTATTGAATAGCTCTCCTAGGAAATGTTTAATTTGGCTCTGAGCATCTGTGGTTTAGACACACTTGCATATTTAGATATCTACTAATATTACTATTTGTCCATTGAGTGCCCCCGGGGGGGTGGATGTTTGGTATAAACCAAGCCAAAAAAAACCCTGATAAATGCCTTATCAGAGGGGGCTAGTGATTTGGCTATCCGAAAATGGATGTCCTGAAGAATTCTGAAAATACGCAGGATTTTTCAGGACCACCAGACAGCCACAGTTACAGAGCATTTAAAGGGCTCTCAGTCCCTTTAAATGCCTTCAGAGTGAACTCTTAGCAAGGCATTTAAAGTTTAAATGCCTTTAGAGTTCACTCGTCACCATGGTGTAGAGTCTCACCATGGCTTGGTAGAAGGCATTTAAAGAGACCGCATCCCTTTAAATGCTTTTTTCTCCCTCCTTTGGAAACAATGGAGGATGGGGGTACCTTCTTGTGGGGGCTATGGAATTGTACCTCCTGCTCTAATCTTTTTGAAACTGGAGGGGGAGTAGGAGAGGCACCAACAGCTATGCTGCTGGTGCCTCTACCTCAAAAAACTACCCCCCCCAGAGCCCCAGATACCCCCAAATTGATTCTCCATTTTAACAGTGTCATTTATGGGGGCTCATTTTCCTCTTTCATATGCCAATATTTGCTTATATACAGTTAAATCTGCATAAATTAAAACTTTCCTGAATGACATATTAATGCAGAAAATTGGCTCGAGAGACTACTTTCTTTCTTTCTTTCTAAATGCAATTGTACTATTTAGATGTAGGCATCTCTTAAATCTGGCATTTGCAAAGTTATGTTGATATGCAAAATGATAGATTTCCATTGAGGAATCTCAGATCTAAATACCATTGATATTGTTGCTTGACAAGATCATGCCCAGTGGAAGGGCAATCCAAGGAATCTGACTTGACTAGACGGCACAGGTAGGTCACAATGAGTGTGCCAAAGAAGAACACTCTTGAAGAGTGCTCTCAACAGCCTCTTAAAACATAACAGCCTTTCACCATTCATGGAAGGATACCATCCATGTCCTTGTGTGTATTTGAACAAGCTTCCTTATAGAAAGAAAGATTTTCCTGTGCTATACTGTATGATGCTGTTCTGGGGAACACTGCCTTTAGTATCTGGCAATAAGGGATGTTCGGTAGATTTGGTACAGATCAAGGCATATATCACTTGCTTGTTAAATAATCCCATATGAAAATCTGATTCCATATTGAACACCTTATAGTTCAAACAATATCCTGGTGAAATTACATTACATGTTTCTACTTATTTGCATCCAGAGACAATCTGAAGCCATTTTAATCCTATTTTTGTTGCTCAGAAGTATCCAGCATACTGGATACAGTAAGAGAATAACAGTTTTTGTGGATGCCACCCGTCCTATGGTTATGATGCCACACTTTGGCTGAAAACCAATGCACCAAAAGTTAGCATATTGTTCTACTCATTAGCTCTCATTCTTTACCCATATTTTTCAGTCATTGCCAATCTATTACCAATAATTTCAGCAATGCTCAGAGCTTTACTTTTTTACCTTTCTAAGAAAACCTGTGTGCAGTGGATATGCCTGAAGATGTTTTCTTCCATCATTACAAGATGTAGCAAGCTAGTCTAAAAATGCTATAAAAGTGAACATCAGTGTTATTAAGCTATCCTTGGTGTATAGTGTTGGTTCACAAAGGTCTCACAAAAGAAGTTATTTCTTCAGAATGGTGACACTGACTGTTGCCAGCCTAAATTTCAGGGGTGTCTTGATCAGGCCCAAATTGGTAACTTTTCATTTGCTACCCCAGTGCCATGTAAGCAGCAATTACTAGGTTCGCATACACATTCCCTGGCTTATGATGTGATTCTGTGCATAGTTTGAAGTTGCTGCAATAGCTAGCAAATGTCTGTTTCTTTGTACTTTTGTCAGTGGTTACAAGGGAGGGAGGGAGGGGGGGGAAAGGGTTTCAGAAGTCCTGGCAAGTAGGTTTCTGGATGGCTGGCATAATAATAGGGTCTCAGTAGTTTGGAAGAAGGGCAAAGGAGGGATTAGAAACGCAACCAACTCCTTCCATGATTTTTTCCCTGTAAGATCCAACTTCCTCCATGCAGCATTCTTGTTATGTCTCACATCAGGCAGGATTGGAGAATGGTTGAGGGACTACCAGCTTAATATTTCTATTTTTTTTCCTCCTGGGTATAGTTGGGGAGACTCAGTCATTGTTTCCTTGATTTAGGGA